GAATTAGCATCACATCAATCATGAGATGACTGTTGAATCAATGAATGCCAACTCATTTGACCCAACACTTGATTCCTATGATTACTGCATTCATTGGTAATAAATGATGTCAACGATCAAGCGTTTGGTGCACTGGTTCCACACCATATCGGCGGTCATATTCATCCATTTGGGTTCATGTGTGACGCCTTCCCTCATACCTGAGATGATTAATGACAATCACAGGACTAATTGGACGAACACTATCTCCTGTCCTAAACAGTGCTTCTGTTCCCTTCAGCTCTCTATATATGTATGAATATATAGATATAGATATATATATATATAGATATGAATATAGATTCATATAATACTAACCATTCATTTCGTATTTATACACCCATTCTGTGTCTGTTATATAACGACTAAAACAATATTTTCTTTCGCTCTATATTATCATGAATCGACACAAAACCTCTCGACTCGCCTACTGATGACATACCGGTGCCTATAGTCGGGTGAATTGGTTCAGGCGGTCAACTGTTCCTTTCAATCGATGAGTTCGATCCCAAAATCAATACCATTGGACACGGAATCGCTTGGATTAACATATAATCTAATTGAAGATCTCTATGAAAAGTTCCCGGCTTTCGATCGCTTACAGGAACTGTATTTGTCTCACAATCAGATCAATCATTTAGGAAGAGGACAAACATTTTGCAACTTAACTCATCTCAAACTTCTTGACATCTCTCATAACAAATTCCGCACATTATTTGCTGACGTGTTTCGCGGACTTAAACGCCTGGAAGTGTTGGATCTGAGCAATGGTCACATCAAATACATCGACGAACACGCCTTCGACGGCCTCGAGATGCTCAAGGAATTGAATATTGAAAACAATCAGTTGTCGTCCATTTATTTAGAGCTCTTTCAAAGTATACTCAATCTTAGCGTAAGTTTTGTCTCTAATTTATGTTTCATAGATTTTTCAAATAAGTTTTTCAATAAGTTTTTCAATAAGTTTTTTGTTCAAATAAGTTGAGATTTGAATTTTCATAAAATGATTCCCAAGGAAGTCTATAGCCGTGCATTTCATAGACAACTTTGCATTACTATTGATATATTATGTAATTTATCTATATTTAGAACAAATGTTTTGAGAAAATAGTTTGAAATTTATTCCCATCTCTAAGTGACTGCAGAAATAAAGTCATAAATTTGGCGCAAAAAACAACAATAAATAAAAATTTATAAAAGTTTAGTTTAAAACTCTAGTGGATATAATATCATCAATATTTATGTTTATTATAAGGCATAAAACGAAAGACTTTTCATAAATCACATTCAAATGCATTCTCGCATTAAGTGAATTACTGTATTATATATGCAATGCTATAATACCGTAAATATCTTGAGTTACTATACAGAATATACTACATTACGAGTAATAAAATACACTAAATGATACGACATTGTGATATATGCATTGCAATTACACATACAGGTGCTGAACGTCGGGGGCAATAGTATCAGTCACTTAACGGGCGGTATATTCGCGTCGATGACAGGCCTCAGAAAACTAGTTCTCTGGCGGAACCGAATCGTCAGTATTAATGATAACGCGTTCGTCGGCTTAGAGCTGTTGGAAGAGCTATACCTCAACGACAATCACTTAACTCGCGTGCCATCGATAGCACTGCAGTCGCTGAAGAGGATAATCACGATTAATATGGACTCCAATCCGTTGGAACAGTTGTCTACCGGCGACTTCGTTCACATCCCCGTCAATCACATTAGTGTCGCTAATTGTAAGCAATTAGTGCTCATCGATAAGGGAGCCTTTTGGGACTTACCTAATGTCAACACAATCCTATTGCATTCCAACCCCAACCTCCAATACATCGACTCCCAGTCCTTCCTGGGGGTCCCACTCCTCCATACTCTTCAGTTGCATGAGTGCGGACTCAAGACTTTCCAACACGACATTATCGACTACGTCCACAATGACCAACAGTTTCACAGCAAACACAAACTCAAAGTCACTTTCGATGGGAACCCGATTCTCTGTGACTGTAATATTCAATACTTATATCAGGTCTGAAACTCATTTCCTAACATTTCCTAACTTTAAAATTTTATAATTAAATTAATTTAAGAAATTTTGTTTTTAAGTCAGTTATGATTTATTGTACTATTTGTGAGATTGATTAGAGTCATGAATGTCTTACACATGGATTTCTCTGAAATAAAGGCAAATCCAAACCTAATTGATCTTAAATAATAAGATTAATTGCAAAAGTAGTCCTGATATTCATTACCCTAATTCCGGATAAATGTTAAGACAATTAATTGAAGCCA